TGGTGCTTTTAGGAAAGTTGGTAGCCATGAGGTCTCACATTCGTGAGTACCCACGACGCAGAAAATGAAGGTGGCGCCATTCGCGGACCGCTAACCTCTCTTCGTCGATTTGAAAGCATTCACCCATTCGCTGACGTCACACAATACTTTTGTTTACGTTCACTGTTGCCAACTTGGTGCTTTTCGCACCAAATTAAGTGGGAATTCTAAACGCGAACATTTTTGAGTTTGTTGCGTTTGTTTTTAGTTTGAAGACTCCAAATTTGAAAATCTTAAAAAAATTTATAGCAATCGTAAGTGAGGTAAGCAACTTTACAAAAATTTAAACAAAATGATGGCACAGTGACAATCATAAGCTACAACAAAATATGTGGCCAATCGTGCCAAAAGAAATCGACCGTCGTGCAAGAAACATTGATTTGTATTAATTTGAATCGNCATTCTAAACGCGAACATTTTTGAGTTTGTTGCGTTTGTTTTTAGTTTGAAGACTCCAAATTTGAAAATCTTAAAAAAATGTATAGCAATCGTAAGTGAGGTAAGCAACTTTACAAAAATTTAAACAAAATGATGGCACAGTGACAATCATAAGCTACAACAAAATATGTGGCCAATCGTGCCAAAAGAAATCGACCGTCGTGCAAGAAACATTGATTTGTATTAATTTGAATCGGCATCCTTACATCAAAATTATGTATGCATATAAAGTCCATAAAATACACCAATCAAAATTTGGTGCCTTTTCAAATTCAAAACTTGACAATACTGCCTTTTGTTCGATGCTTCCTCCTTTTTATTGTCGGATTCGTCTTGCTCTCTCAGCTTTCAACTTAAATAAATGCATTTTGCATACAAAAGTGCGTACGTTACTTAGTGCCTTGGCAATGGCGAATTCGTAAGGATCTATTGATTTCATTACAAACATTTTCATTTATTTGTTAAAACAATACAATTACTTCCATTACAACCTGGTCCTATGGATGCTAGAAGCGCGAATTCTTATAAGGTGGTGTTACCGGAAAATGAATAGATAAATTATATGTATATCAGAAAATTAATAAGATGAAGAGAAGTTATTGTTTGATTTCTAACCAAACCTATGTATGTAACTCAATCGCCTAATGGTTTGCCGAACCGTAAACATATGTTTACACATCCAATTTCGTGAGTAGGTTCCTGGTACTCACACCTTTTTCAAGAAGTTTCACTTGTATCATGTGTACGGTGTTACACACGCATTTTTTCACAATTTACTGACATTGTAAAGGGTTTTGCATACAAAACATGGAGTTAGATACAATTTTCAGCGAACTATTAGTCTTTCAAAGTTTTTACGTAGTTGAAAAAATTAATTTAAGCCATGAGGAAATATAGATGAAGTCTTTAAATAGTGGTATTTTACCACAGATTGAAAAAAATTGTAATTTTTATAAATTTTTTTTCAATACCACACTCAAACGAAGCAACTGAGAGGATCTGAAGTATAAAGTTTGCTCCCTGGTGCAAATAGGCAAACTGGCTTCTGATTAAGATTTTTTAAAGTGAACTGCAATAAATAAGTAATTTTGAAATGAAATGTATAAAATTCTTTGACTACTTAAACACTGAAGATGGAAATGATCTCATTATTGCTATTCAAAAATGTTATAAATATAAAATAATTTATTGGCTTCTGTGTACAATGATGTGTACACTAGGGTGGTCCAAAAATGTATGTGGGGGAAAAAGTAAAGTCGGAATTTTTATGCTCTCACCCCCTGCAGGAGACTCCCAATAATAATACGAATATTGTTTATTTAACCATTCTTTCATCGCAACTGTAATTTATAGGTCCGCCAAAAACGCACAAAAACTCCGAAAAATGCAATGGGGCGACCAATAAAATATCGTTAGTATTAAAAAATGGTTAAATAAACAACTGGGTACTATTATTGAAAGTAGCCTGAAGGGAACCAGAGTTTCCGATCGAAAAATATTGATTTTCAAAAATTCTATACCATTTNACCAAAAACACACAAAAACTCCGAAAAATGCAATGGGGCGACCAATAAAAAATCGTTAGTATTAAAA